GGTACCCCAGATTCAGATGTAATGGTGCTTTCTTCCTTAACCAGAATCGGGCATGATCAGTGAACTATGAACCGCCTCAAAAAAGAAGAGGGCACAAATAAACATCAATAGGTTAGGCATCCAGCTACTTCAGAGGGGGGCATCCGAGCAGCTCTCCGAAACATAATAAGCGCACAAACAACATAAGCATCCAACTCTCCCTGAAAGGGGGGAATCCGAACGGCCATCTCGTTTTTTTCTTATTAATATATATATATATATATAAAAAGAAAACAGTGGGCCTCTAGTTTGTCCAGAAGGGGAATTGCGAAGCCTTGCAAATAGAAAAAAAGGCATCCAGCCCCAGCCGCGCCTCCGGCGCAGCTTGACGATCGAAGCAGGGACGAATGTATAGAAAATTCGTGCCATGACGACGTGGGCCGTGTGTTCACCCACCGCGCGGTCCTTTCAGCCTCGAGCAATGTCCGCCGCCGGAAGCCCTGAGGGGAAACTCACGACACGATCTTTCGCATGGAGTTCGCGCCGTGCTTTGTTGTCTGGCGATCTGGGAACCCGAAACGGGCCCTTCCAGAATATCTCTTAGAGTCCCATTTTGAACACCCGCGCTGGCGCCGTCGCCGCATCGAGGCGGCACAAACCTGCGCGCGGAAACCATTGCTGCACTCGACAACGACCCCAGGCGAATAAAGTGCGCCCGACCAAATGTAGCAAGTAGTAAGTAGCAGCCGCGTGCGCACGCACATGAGCAAAAGATGACAAATCAGCGCGTTCGGCCGTGCTGCCGTGCTGCTCCTCTCCAGGTGTCTGCCGGAACGGCAGCAATATCTGGCCAACGCATGTTACTTTGTACACGTGCATTCTGAGCGTGTCTCAGCACTTCCCTCGACCACACCTGTCCTGGTCGGCCCCGCTTGCGCGGCCGTGCTGGGTCCAAAAGTTCCCAGGATGAGGGTTGGAAAACAGCTTGGCGGAGAGGGTGCTGGTCACCCTCGCGCGCAATCCTGGCAAAGTAAATAAGTTGTCCTTCCAGCAGCGCACAACTGAGCTTTACACGGCGCGCCTGCTCTAGAACAGCTGAATTTGTCACATGGCTCACGTACGTACGAGTGCGGCTCTCTCAGGATCTTTCGCAGGCACCGTGCCTGGAACGCATCCAGCTTGGACAGCTACGCGCTCTTCAGCCAGGCGGTGTGGAGGCTGTAATAGAGCTTGCTCAGGACGCACGCCTCGAAAATGCGGATCTTCCGTCGGGTAGGAAGAGCCGCGTGCGACCACAAACGAACGAGCTTCTCGAACTCGGCCCTCGCCGCGCCTAGTCTCCGGGACAGCTCCGCGTCCACGGTGCCAGCTGCAGACAGGACGCTACCCAGATAGACGACGCTGTCCTTCTGCTCCACGTGCCCGCCGTCTGGCTTCGGTATGCGGGCCTCGCGCCAGACCGGAAGCACCTCGAGCTTTCTCCAGTTGCACTGCAGGCCGCGCTGCGCTCCAGCTCGCGCAATCGCCCGCATGTGCCCGGTCGCGTCGCCACCCTGCGCAGCCACGATCAGCGTGTCGTCTGCGTAGATCAGCTCGCTCACGTCTGTGGATCAGGGGCCCAGGTCTGCCTTGGCATCGTGGATGAGAACGGTCATGACGATTGCGAACAAGAAAGGCGAGAGCGGGCAACCCTGGCAGATGCCCGCCTTCTGCCCCCGTTGATCGGACGTGCATCCTGCCTCGTGCACTGCGAATCGCCTCCTCGAGTAAATAGCGCGCACCGATGCGAGCATCTGTTCTGGCAGGCCAAACCTTTTGTGGGCTATGATCAGCGCGCCTGGGTCTACGATGTCGAAAGCCTTCGCCCAGTCGAGCGCCAAGAGCACCGCCTGTCCGTCCTGAGCCCCCCAGGTCTCGTCAAGGAGACGCCTCGCGAGGAAGATGGCGTCGGCGGTGCCGGCGTTCGACTTGAATCCGAACTGAGAGGCCCAAAATATCTGCTCTGCCCCGGCTGTCTTGAGGCGCTGTGACAAGACGGTCGCGTGCAGTTTGTATCCAGCCTGTAGAAGACAGATGGGGCGATAATGTTCGCACTTTGTCTCGCCGCCTTTGTTGAAGATGGCGGTGACGAGCGCCTCGTGCCACGAATCTGGCACGACTCCTTCCTGCCAACACTTCTGACACAACGCCGTCGCCCATCTCCTCGCCGCCGAGTTGCGCGTGCACGCTGCTTCCCACAAGTCCCCAGGTATCCCGTCGGAGCCGCAGGCCTTGCCCCACTTCATGCGACGTGCAGCGTCGGACACCTCGTCGCCCGTGAGTGGCTGTAGGTCGACTGGTAGCTGAGGTCCCAAGAACGAATCGCCCGCTTGGGTCGTCGCTCGCATAGCCCGCTGCACCTCGTCGAAGTACTCTGCGGGGGTCTCTGCGCGGCTCTCGGAGACCACGAGGTGCCCCGACTGATTCCGAAGTCGTCCTTGTTGCGGGCAAAACCATTTCCGAAGGCGCCTCACTTGGTTCCAGTCGCCAGAAGCGAGCAGGCTGTCAAGCCACTCGGCCCGGTCCTTCTTCACTGAGTCCTTCACAATCTTGCCCAAGCTTTTCTCGCGTTCAGTGTGGCCCTGCCGTCTTGCCTCTGCGCGGTTCTCAATATGGCGCCGAGTGCGGCACGAGATCCAAGGTCTGCGGCGGGTCAAACCGGCGACGGGGACCGAGGCGTCCACGGTGGCACGGAAAGCGCCCGCAATAACTCGTTCCATCTCATCGGCGGAGGCGTCTCTGGACCAATTTCAGGAAGATGGGCCGCGAACGTCTGGGCGAAATTGCCAGAGGTCGCCAGAGAGCGCAGTGAACTTCAATCTGGGCGTCCTTGTTTCTTACTCTCTTGGGCCGGTCTCGGGACGAACATGTCCACGTCCATGGGGAGCAGAAAATGGTGCGTGCGAAGCAAGCGCGCGGCAGCGATCGCTGCGCACCATGTTGAGCATGTCGGCCCATTCTGCAGAGATGAGCGTGAAGTCTATCTGGCCGAAGTTTTCGGTGGTCGGCGGGTCCTTGGCGGACTTCCCCACGTTGTAGCACGTGATCTGGTTCTCCGCCGGCAAGACGAAAACGTGTTGCCAATGATGAGCTTCTGTTTCGTGCACAACTCTGTTATCAGGCTCCTGTTGGCAATGGCACTGTAATGTGCTGTGGGAGAACCAAGATGTGTGGGCCATGATGTTTTCCTCTTGCCGGAATCGCCTGTGCAGCCGCGCATTGAAGTCGCCAAATACAAGAAGAGGACCATGCCTCGAGAGAATACTCAAGAACCCGCCCAAATCGTCGAAGAAGTTCCGCCGGTCTACTTCTGGTTTGCCACTGTGTGGGGGGCGTATCTGCTGCACAATGCGGCCATGCCCCCCCGCACGCGCAGCTTCAATGATGCCATTCTCCCCGTCTTCTGGCGGAACCCCACGATGCTATGCCTCAAGCTGGGGCTGATCAGGAACCCAACGCCCGCTGTCTCTGCCACCTCGTTCAGATTGCCAGATGATATGAAAAAAAGTAACCCGTGTCTGTGATGTGATGTGTGGAACCCGGCAGATGCGTCTCTTGTAAACACAATGTATCAATACACATCTCCCTCATATGCCATTCCAGCTCAACCTGTTTCGCCTCAGTGAGGCCCTCGACGTTCCAGCTTGCAATGCGGAGCCGCCTCCCGCAAGGGAGGAGAGCGCCACCTCGAAACAGGGAGGCCTCTGCGGCACCGCCCGACCACGTGGCACGCCCAAAATGGGTATGGCAATGGCATGTTCATGTCGTGACGACCCGGCATTGGTTTCTGACACCGCGGGGATCGTTCAGCATTGGATCGTTCAGCCGTGGATCCCGAGGTCATCCCATGCAAGGCGACTCTTTGTCACTGACGGCCCTGAACCTTGAACACCCGCGCTGGGGTCGCCGCCACGTCGATACGACACGCGCCTGCCGTACGGAACAAAAGTACACGATGCCACGAGGAATCCCAGGCCGAGACTGGTTACGTGATATAATCGACACCTACCCCAAAACAACCTCACTGCCCAATTCTGTTCCGCCAGATCATTACATATGAGCCACAGCTACATCGCAAAGATGGGGATTGTGAAGAACATGCCACTCCTGGGCAAAAATTTGCCCCGATTTGTGGCCGCCGCGTTCGCCGCGGCGACCTCCAAAACCGACCCATCGGTTTGGTTCGGGACCGGGCATCCTACAACGACCGGACTCCAACGTTATGGCAACAAAAACAATACGGGTGCTCTTACTCCAGGGCCATCGCTGGGCCCCGGGACCGTCCAACAACGACTCGAGATGAATAGCAAGCGCTGGAGACAGGTTTGAGCTTCGGGGAACCAGGGCATCGAATGTCTGGGAGTGAAGAACGGCAGGACCTTCCTGGCCAAGGAGAGCCTCGGCCACGAGAAGGCTCACCATGAGCAGAGTCCTGAACAACGTATAGTCCTGCATTTCAGCACCTTGCCTGCACATCCATGCGAAGCGATCATCTCAGACGAGGCAAGGGCGAGGATGAAATCGGGTGAGGATAAATCCGCCAACCACCTGTGGGTCTCTGGGCGTGTGAGACTGCTTCCCCCCCATATCAACCCAATTGGACCCCTTCATGGACGGATAGAGAGCTCCCCGACGGCCAGAGAGGGCCGCAAGACGGTCAAAGAAGGCGCCAAGTCGCCCAACACGGCATCCAGGCGGCCCCAGATGCCCCCAAGACGCTCCTAACCCCACCCTCTCGCTTTCATATACACCACCATCACCCTGGACGCCCCCATAAACTATAGGAAACAATCTACATTCAAGGGGTGTGGCGTAGTTAAGCCAAGAGAATCGCAGTCCGTGTTTGAAAAGGCCAGCGCGTGAGAAAAGACCGAGCTTGCTTAAGTGCGCGCCTGCATGATTGCGGCTCGTCTGGAATTCCCGAGGGTGCCCAAGACCCCGTGGTCCAAGTCATGTAAGAGAGGCCCAGAGAGCCCACGGTCCCCGAGGCAGCACCGCACTCCACGTAAGAACTCCTGCGAGGGGATCACTGCGAAAGTGCTGGACATAAAAGAGGCGCGTGAATCACAGCAATGAGCTCCTCTACATTTGCGCTGACAAGGCCACACAACCACGTTCAAAATATGCTTAAGTTAGACCGAGTGTCATGGACTAGGTGGCGCTCGCACGCGTGTGCAACATACATGCAGAAGTCGGCCTCGCATGCGCCCATCGTCAAGCAGAGCACCCAACGCCTTTAGATTGAAACGCATATTCCGCATGCATCCTCATGGATGGGCCCGAGCTTACACGCACGATGTGCACCTGCTTATAAAGACACACATAGGAGCAGGGACGTTCACACAAAACACCCCCACCTTCTCCCTTTCCTTCTCCTCCTCGCTTCCGCGTCTCCGCCCACCATCGTGTGAGAAACAGAACCACTTCACTGCTGCGCGGCCTTAGCGTGAGCTGGGCGAAGGTCCTCCTCATCCTGCTCCTCCTTCCCCTCCCTCTCCTCCTTCTCCTCCTCGATCCCTCCCCCGACTCCCTTCTCTTTTCCTTCTTTGCCTCCTCCTCCTCCTCCTCCTCCTCCTCCTCCCCTCTCATCCTCAGATTTCTCCTCCCAAAAATTCCTCGTCCTCCTCTCTCCTCCTTCCCCCTCCGCCTTCTCCTTCTTTCACATTTACGCCTCCCGCTTCTCTCTGCTACGAATGTTCCTCCTGCTGCTCCTCCCCAATCACTGTGTTTGGCGTGGCAATCCCACGGTTTACACAGAGTTAACACTGACACGCATTTCGCTGATAGGGGCTCTTCAGCCACCTCAGTCGCAGACGGCGGACGTGAGCAAGCAATCCACAAATTATCCCAGTGCGACCCTACCTAGGAGTTGGAGCCCCTAGGAAAGCAACACTAGTAGTAACAGTAAAGCTAAGCTAGAGCTCAGCTAAAGCTCAGCTAAAGCTCAGCTAAAGCTAAGCTAAACCTAAGCTAAAGCTGGCCTAAAGCTAAGATAAAGATAAACTGAAGCTAAGCTAAAGCCAAGTTAAAGCTAAGCCAAAGCTAAGCTAAATATAAGCTGAAGCTAAGCTAAAGCTAAGCTACATATAAGCTAAAGCTAAGCTAACGCTAAGCTAAAGCTAAGCTAAAACTAAGCTAAAGCTAAGATAAAGCTAAGCTAAAGCTAAGCTAGAGCTAAGCTAAAGCTAAGCTAACGCTAAGCTAAAGCTAAGCTAGAGCTAAGCTACAGCTAAGCTAAAGCTAAGGTACAGCTAAGCGAAAGCTAAGCTAAAGCTAAGCTAAAGCTAAAGCTCCCGGGGGACTGGGGGAACCGCTCCCAAGGGATTGGGGAACCGCCCGGGGCGGCCTACACTGTCCGGCCCCTTTAAGCAACCCAAGTAAGAACCCTCTAGGCAGAGCCTAGGTAGGGAATAAAACTGAGGTAATATGAAGCTAAGCTACGATAAGATGACATAAGCTAAGCTAAGATGAGATAAGCAACGCGAAGCTAAAGGAACGTCACTGGTGGAACCGCGGGGAGGATGCCGGGGGAACCGCCCGGGGCGAGCCCCACTGCCCGGCCCTTTAAGCTTAGCTATGCTATGCTAAGCTGCGCTATGCGATGCTGTGCTATGCTATGCTATGCTGCGCTATGCTATGCTTGGCTATGTAATGCTATGCTATGTCATGCTAATGCAGCACTGCGTTATGCTAAGCTAAGCTAAGCTAAGCTAACCCTCTAAGCAGAGCCTAGGTAGGGAACTACACCCAGGCTATGATATGCGATGCTGCGCTATGCTATACTACGCTATGCTATGCTGTGCTCTGCTATGCTAAAGCTCAGCGAAGCTAAGATGAAGGTAAGCTAAGCTAAGATAAACCTGAGCTAAGATGAAGCTAAGCTAAGCTAAGCTGAAATCAGCTAAGCTAAGATTGTATAAGCAACGCTAAGCTGAGGGGACGTAACTGGGGGAACCGCGGGACGGATACTGGGGGAACCGCCCGGGGCGTGGAACACTGCCCGGCCCTTTAAGCATACCGAGTAAGAACCCTTCTACGCAGAGCCTAGGTAAGGAATAAGCTAAGCTAAGATGAGATAAGCAACGCGAAGCTAATGGAACGTCACTGGGGGAACCACGGGGCGGATGCCGGGGGAACCGCCCAGGGCGAGCCCCACTGCCCGGCCCTTTAAGCTTAGCTATGCTATGCTAAGCTGCGCTATGCGATGCTATGCTATGCTGTGCTATGCTATGCTGCGCTATTATCTGCTATGCTTGGCTATGTTATGCTATGCTATGTTATGTTGAGGCAGCGCTGCGCTATGCTAAGCTAAGCTAAGCTAAGCTAGGCGAATCCTCTACGCAGAGCTTAGGTAGGGAACTACACCCAGGCTATGATATGCGATGCTGCGCTATGCTATGCTACGCTATGCTATGCTGTGCTCTGCTATGCTAAAGCTCAGCGAAGCTAAGATGAAGGTAAGCTAAGCTAAGATAAACCTGAGCTAAGATGAAGCTAAGCTAAGCTAAGATGAAATCAGCTAATCTAAGATGATATATGCAACGCTAAACTGAGGGGACGTAACTGGGGGAACCGCGGGGCGGATACTGGGGGAACCGCCCGGGGCGTGGAACACTGCCCGGCCCTTTAAGCATACCGAGTAAGAACCCTTCTACGCAGAGCCTAGGTAGGGAACCAGATGCAGTGGCAGTGAAATCTACATGCAACCTCCTCGGAGGACCAACTGAGACACCGGCTGCTCTCCTGCACGCCCCACATCCGTTCAAAATCAATCTCTGGACCCCGCCCAGGGACCGTCCTGGCCCGTTCTCCGAGGCGAGCGACGAGAAACCTCGACTCCGGCCCAGGAGTGATGGCAAACGGCCAGGGAGGGCCGCCGGTGTCTCGACTGGCCCTCCTCCGATCTCGTCCTCCTCCCCCACCCTCCTCCTCCTCCTCCTCCTCCTCCTCCTCCTCCTCCTCCTCCTCCACATCCTCCTCTCCCCCCTCCTCGCGCGAGCCTCGGAAGAATATTCACCACTAGTCACCACCATCATCGAGTTGCTGCACGAGCTGCACTCTGGCTGCCCTGGCGGACATCTCATCGGATGCATGCTCTGCGTCCGAGCCTCGACGTTGATTATCGACACAATTACCTGGACAACTAAGCCTCGCTCCTCCCCTGTCGGGCCCGAGGCGGTCCCAAAACAACGGTCAAGGAAATGCTAGACAGGCTGAGCAGGCGTGGGGGGGCGGAAGAGGAGGGTCCTCCACCTCCTCCTCCTCCTCCTCCTCCTCCGCCTCCTCCTCCTCCATCCTCCTCCTCCTCCTTCTCGTCCTCCTCCTTCTCCTCCTTCTCCTCCTCATCCGCCTCCCCTTCTCTCCTCCTCCAGCCGCCACCGCCACCACTCCCCGCCCTTTGGCAGCCCCCGCGCATTCTCCTGCAGCGAGATCCTGCCCGACATGTCCTGGTCCAGGAACTGGAAGGCGTCCTGGGCGGGTCGCCCGTGAAAGAAGTGTGGTCCCACAGTCCTCGTGTGACGGAAAGGCTGGTGAAGAAGGAACTCCAGATAAGGAATGAGGCCCTCTTTTGGCGCTCACAGCGCTTGGGTGCACGAGGAGGGCTAGAGGAACAAACAACCATGGAAGGACCTAAGGAACATCGAGCACCTTCAGAACGCAGGCTGTTCCATATTTCAGCGTCTTGGCTGTGCAGTCCTTGTGGTCCGCCACCGTGCGTCCGTGGCACGCTGAGACATGGCAGACAGGGCACAGTAAACCCCCAACATCAGCACGAGGAGCCGGGCGGGGGGGGGGGGGGGGCGGGTCCTCCTGCTGGCGGGGTACCACCCCCACCCCCTCGCTCAAGAGTTCTCCGATCCCCAGCTCGGGCACTCCTCGTGGACCTCCTGGCTGGAAGTGCCCCCTCTGGTGGTGGCGTGGCCTCTCTTCCTCCGAGTAGGGTGCCAGGCGCTGGCGGGTAGGGTTTCTGTGCGGTCATCGTGCTGCCTGCCACAGGAGCACGGAATAAGGAACGAAAGGGATTTGTCTGGCCACGGCGAGCCTCGACCATGAAAAGGCTCCCCAACCCAGATCTGAGGAAGGGCCCGGAAACTAACGCCCCTCCTGAACCCACAGTGGTCCTCATCTCAGAGTCTTGACCGGAAGAGGAACCCACATTTCCGACGATCTGACATCTCCTCTCGTATGTTGCCCTTGCTTTCGGCCCCTGGAGCCCGCTCATCGGGCCCTGGGCAATCAAACATGGATCTGGCACCGCGCATTGAAACGATCACGTCGTCGATGGCTTGGGGGCCTGCCAACAAAACTACTCAGGATGAAATGCTGTTGCTGGTGACAGCCTCCCGGGCCCAGCACCCGCCCTCAGGACCCCACTCCTCCATGACAAGTCGGGGCGGTCGCGTGCGCGCCCGCAGTGGTGGAACTGCACTGAGGCCGAGATGGGAGATCGCGGAGGCTCCCACGCTGCCCACTCCACTACGAGAGAAACATGACTGACGTGGTCATCACCAAACACCCCCGACCATGAAACATCGACTTCTCATGCTTCGCATCCGCAAGGCGCGCCACGTCCAAGGGAACATCGGGGCTTCGAGCGCCAGCTACCCTAACAGAAATGCAAGAGCACTCTCATGTCCCATTTTCGCAACCACGCAAGAGAGCAAACGTCGGCCACGTTCGGCCCGTGGGCAGCGGCACCAAGCCGAAGAATTCTTCCACGCGGAGCCACAACATCTATGTTCAGACCAGGGCAATCTGAAATTCAGACCCGGCCAATCTGAATTTCAGACCAGACCAATCTGAATATCAGACCGGGCCAATCTGAATAATTTATGTGCAGAAGTCTCAGGCAGAACGCCTCGCCCGAGTCCTCGAGGGGGTCTATCTGATTTTCAAACAGGAGCACTCTGAATTTCAGACAGGGGCAATATGAATTTCAGATGTGGGTAGCGCCGCCCAAAACAAACATGTGTCATGTTTTTCCTACGCGATCAACCTGGAGCGAGGGAAATTCACTACCCCGCTGTGCCCGTGACAGCGCACCGACATGCAAGTCACACGCGCTCGCCAATCGCGCGCGCGCGTCGACGCCGAGAGCGCCAATGCGTTTGCGCAGTCTAAGAAAATTAGCCTGGCGAAGGACCCAACCATATGAAGGTATGAACACCGTCGTTGCATGCACCGCATTAGGAGCTGACCAGCGGGCTACCAAACGTGTGATGTGTGTGTGTGTGTGTGTGCAAAAATGGGTGCGGTGGGCGCGTGCAGCCGCTGGCACTTGGGCCTTCGGTGGAGCTCCCTGAGGGGCCACGAAACGTCTGAGGGGTGTGTCAAAATCGGTGCGGTGGCCGCATGCGAACGCTGGCATTTGGGCTTTCGGTGGGGCTCCCTATGGAGCCACGAAGCGTGTGAGGGGTGTGCCAAAATGGGTGCGGTGGCCGCATGCGAACGCTGGCATTTGGGCCTTCGGTGGGGTTCCGTATGGAGCCGCGAAACAAATGAGGGGTGTGCCAAAATGGGTGCGGTGGCCGCATGCGAACGCTGGCACTTGGGCCTTCGGTGGGGCTCCCCCTTATGGAGTCACGAAACGTGTGAGGGGTGTGCCAAAATGGGTGCGGTGGCCGCATGCGAACGCTGGCACGTGGGCCTTCGGTGGAGCTCCCTATGGAGCCACGAAGCGTGTGAGGGGTGTGCCAAAATGGGTGCGGTGGCCGCATGCGAACGCTGGCATTTGGGCCTTCGGTGGGGCTCCCTGTGGGGCCAAGAAACGTGCGAGGGGTGTGCCAAAATCGGCTCGGTGGCCGCATGCGAACGCTGGCAGTTGGGCCTTCGGCAGGGCTCCCTGTGGGGCCACGAAACGTGTGAGGGGTGTGCCAAAATTGGTGCGGTGGCCGCATGCGAACGCTTACATGTGGGCCTTCGGTGGGGCTCCTGATGGGGCCAGGAAACGTGTGAAGGGTGTGCCAAGATGGGCTCGGTGGCCGCATGCGAACGCTGACACTTGGGCCTTCGGTGGGGTTCCCTGTGGGGCCGCGAAACGTGTGAGGGGTGTGCCAAAATGGGTGCGGTGGCCGCATGCGAACGCTGACGCTTGGGCCTTCGGTGGGGCTCCTGATGGGGCCACGAAACGTGTGAGGTGTGTGCCAAAATGGTTGCCTGGTTCGGAGGGCAGAGGCAGGGATCGGAGGAGAGAGGGGAGGGAGGAGGAGGAGAGGAGGAGGAGGAGGAGGAGGAGGAGAACGCGGGGCGCTATCTCTCCAAAACGAGGACCCAACACAACAGGATAGTTGGGAAAATAACCCGACACCAAAATTCGTGTGAATATTTTGATGTTGGGGGTGTCTGGTGATCACGGCGTAGTGATAACAGCCCGGCAGATCAACACGAAGGACGCCCACAAGGATGTTGCTCTCCTCATCCAGCCACCACTGTGTTGTCCCCAGTCCACCCGACCAGACTAGTCCGCGGGTATGACACAACGAAACATGCAAAAATCTGGTGTTGAAGCCCTGAGGGAATGAAACACCCCGGGTATAAGAAAATGTTCCGGCGGCTGGACCCCGTATGCCCTCCTCACGCCCGCTGTTGCGTCTCCTCCTTCTCCTCCTCGTCCTCCTCGCCCTCTGTCGCCTCCTCCTCCTCGTCCTCCTGTCTTCCCCTCCTGCCCTTCGTCCTCGCCCTTTTTCCTCCTGCTCCTCAACCTCATCCTCCTCCTCGTCCTGCTGCTATCCTCCTCCTCCTCCTCCTTCTCCTCCTCCTCCTCCTCTTCCTCCTCCTCATCATCATCATCATCAGCAGCATCATCATCATCATCATCATCATCATCATCATCATCATCATCATCATCATCATCATCATCATCATCATCATCAGCATCATCATCATCATCATCATTCTCATTATCTCAATCCCGCCTGCTCTCCTCACGCATGCGAGGCCAACTCTTGTACACCACCACCGCCCGTAACATTAATTTACCGCAAAAAGGGGTAGGCAGGGTCATGCCAGACGACGCTGCGACGCCACGGCGAAAAGGACCGCGGCGCAGCTCGCAGGCGCCGTGGCATGGGGAGTTCCTGGAGCAGACACAGCACTTTTTTTTTGGGGGGGGGTATAAAGAGCTCCTCTTGGTACGTAACCAACATTTTATACACCACCACCGCTTTCGCGGGCAAGGCCAAGGCCTTGCACCCCTCCTTCCTTCTGGCCAGGGCATCTCTCCTTCATTCCAGCCAAGGCATGCATCTTGATGTTCCTCGGCGCCGTGGCCGCCACGGCCCGCAGCGGCCCTTCTCTGCAGGCTAGACCGCGAAACCGTTGGGAGAACCCCGCGGGCCAGGCCGTTGGGATAACCCCGTGGGCCGTTGGGGCGGGGAGCGACCCGTCCGGACAACCCCACGGGTCTCGAGCTGGGCGCGGCTGCGCTCAGGCGGTCGGCAGCGCGAAGCCGAACTCTGCCGCGAGCTGCTCCGCCTCAGCCCTGCCCGCCTGAGACTTCCTCGCGACCGCTCGAATTCGAACATGGAGGTGGGGACCCCATAGGGAGGGGCTCCCGTTCGAGACGTCCTCGCGATTCGCTCACAGGCGAGGCTCCCGCTCGAGACTTCCTCCACAGTCATGCCCGTGGAGCCCGAAAGCAACGACAATTACGCATAAAAAGGCTGCCGCCTGAGACGTCCTCGCAATTCGCTCACAGACGAGCCTCCCGCTTGAGACTTCCACCATTTTCAAGCCTGGGGAGCCCAGCAATGACGAAAGCTACAAGTTTGAGGATGACCCCCTGGGGTTAAAAGCATGAAGTGCGGACCCAATATGGAATGGCTCCCTCCCGTTTCAGACTTCCTCCATATTCAGGCCTGTGGAACTCAAACATGACGACACATACAGGTTTGATGACGACCAGTTGGGATTAAAACAAGCGCTGCGGGCCCCAGATGGAGGGGGCTCCCGTCTGAGATTTCGTCGCAAATCGCTCCCGCCTGAAATTTCTTCCATATTGAGGCTTACGAAGTAAAACAGTGACGACAATTACAAGTTTGACGATGACCCGCTGGGGACAAAAAAACATGAACTGCGGCCGGGAGGGAAGGGGCTCCCACCTGAGACTTCCTCGCAATTCACTCACACACGAGGCTCGCACTTGAGGCTTCCTCCATATTCAGGCCTGAGGGGCCCAAAAGTGACGACAGCTACAAGCTTGAGAATGACCCCCTGGGATTCAAAACCATGAGGTGCGGGCCCCACCGGGAGGGGGCTCCCGCTCGAGACCTTCCTCAAGGTGAATATGTGAGTGTGCAAAGGTGTGTGCGTGTGTGTGGGAGCAAGGGTGAGTGCGTGAGTGCGTGTGAGATGAAGATGATGTGTGCGAGATGATGCTGATGGTGAGGAAGAAGGGGGGTGAGATCTTTTTCTGCGCGGGGGGTGTCCAGAAAAATTAGCCTGGCGAAGGACCCAACCATATGCAGTTGCGAGTACCGCAATTGTGAATATCTTATTCGGTGGCGCTCCCTATGGGGCCACGAACCGTATGAAAGGTGCGCCGAACTGTGGCGGGGTACACAACGCAAAGGAATACGGCAGGTCGGATTACGAGGGACTGAGCGCGGGTGAGTCAGAGCGTGACTGAGCCTGAGTGTGAATGACTCTGCGTGAGAGTGAGTATATTTGCGTGGATGCGATCATGGCTACGCCTAATGTAAATGTATATGAGTGTGAATGGTTCGGGCATGCCTGTCCGGCCACTCGTGACATTGAGCGTGGCCGCCGCAGGCAGCTTCCGCGGGAACCCCGACGGCAGCGCCCGCGCGCCGCGACGCCCATGTCGGCACGCCCCTCGCGAGGATCGCACCCGCTTCCGTCTCTTCTTGTCCTCCCTCTTTGCCTGTGCACTCCAAAAATCCAAAGCTGCGGACGCAGCGCAGCGCGGAGTCCCCGCGACGCGCGCAGGTCGCCCTGGAGGGGTCCCAGCGACGCGCGCGGGTCGTCCGCTGCGAGGAGCAAAAAAAGCTAGCTGGCAAAATGAATGTGCGGGACGCATGCGGGCACACCCACTGGGACCTTCGGTGGAGCTCCGTATGGGGCCACGAAACTTGTGAGGGGTGTGCCGACATGAGTGTGCGGGGCGCATGCGGGCACACCCACTGGGGCCTTCGGTGGAGCTCCCTATGGGGCCACGAAACGTGTGAGGGGTGTGCCGAAATGGGTGTGCAGAACGCATGCGGGCACACCCACTGGGACCTTCGGTGGAGCTCCCTATGGGGCCACGAAACGTGTGAGGGGTGTGCCGAAATGGGTGTGCGGGACGCATGCGGGCACACCCACAGGGACCTTCGGTGGAGCTCCCTATGGGGCCACGAAACGTGTGAGGGGTTTACCGAAATGGGTGTGCGGGACGCATGCGGGCACACCCACTGGGACCTTCGGTGGAGCTCCCTATGGGGCCACGAAACGTGTGAGGGGTGTGCCGAAATGGGTGTGCGGGACGCATGCGGGCACACCCACTGGGGCCTTCGGTGGAGCTCCCTATGGGGCCACGAAACGTGTGAGGGGTGTGCCGAAATGGGTGTGCGGGACGCATGCGGGCACACCCACTGGGACCTTCGGTGGAGCTCCCTATGGGGCCACGAAACGTGTGAGGGGTGTGCCGAAATGGGCGTGCGGGACGCATGCGGGCACACGCACTGGGGCCTTCGGTGGAGCTCCCTATGGGGCCACGAAACGTGTGAGGGGTGTGCCGAAATGGGTGTGCGGGACGCATGCGGGCACACCCACTGGGGCCTTCGGTGGAGCTCCCTATGGGGCCACGAAACGTGTGAGGGGTGTGCCGAAATGGATGTGCGGGACGCATGCGGGCACACCCACTGGGACCTTCGGTGGAGCTGCCTATGGGGCCACGAAACGTGTGAGGGGTGTGCCGAAATGGGTGTGCGGGACGCATGCGGGCACACGCACTGGGGCCTCCGGTGGAGCTCCCTATGGGGCCACGGAACGTGTGAGAGGTGATAGTGGTGATGACTGCGATGATGATGACGATGATGGTGATGAGGACGGTCGTGAGGATTATGACGAAGATGATGATGACGGTGATGATGACGACGACGACGATGATGATGATGATGACGATGATGATGGTGGGAGGAGGGAGGAGGAAGGAGGGGGAGGAGGAGGAGAGGATGAGAGGAGAGGAGACGCGGGCCACCGTCTCTTCAAAACGAGGACCCAACACCACAGGAAGCTTGGGAAAAACAAGAAGTCGACTTTGGATGTGGGGAGCGATGATGATGACTGTTGATGGTTGAACATGATGAAGATGGTGATGATGATGCTGATGATGATGATGAAGAAGATGATGCTTGTGATGGCGATGGTGATGCTGATGGTGATGGTTATGCTGATGGCAGGAGGAGGGGGTGTGAAGGATCCTGCACAGGGTGTCCAGAGAAAGCAAAATCCCCACTTAAGATGTGTGGGAACCAATTGTTTATACCATTTGTTTTATAAAGACCGGGTTTGTTGATATCCTCTGGTCCCTTGATGCCTGGTGGTTTTACATACCCTCGGGTTGGTGTTGTACCCTCGGTTATTCTACGCCCACCCTCCAAACGCACTCGGCACGAAACCAGGGGCTTGCTCGAGAAGGCCAGAGTGCGCGCTATGTCGCTTGTCCGCGGCTGGTCAGCAGGGCGGCTCCTGCGGGCTAAGCTGGCCGAGCCGAGAGGCACGTGCCGCCATCACTGCCGGGGTCCCAGCATGGCGATGCCGCTGCCCAGCAGCCCAGGGCCGTCAGCAGAGGAGCTGCCTTCACCAACAGTGCCCGCACGCAAGCCAACAGGGCACGTTTGTGGCACGTCATGCCACGGTGTGGAACTTCTGCTCAACGTGTCGCCGCGGGTGCCCATGCGACACGCTATTCCCTGCGATCTGACGGCATGTCGTTCCGCTCCGTGGGACGGGAGGCTGGTAAAAGCTCGGGCGTTAATGCTTGGGGAGGGAGCCGTGGTTAGCGCGTCGCGCCGAAGCGTGGTGGGCCAGAACCAGCGGCGCGACACTCCAAACAAACAATCCCGACCATCATCTACATTAGTGAGATGTGTTGCAGCCTACTCTTGAACGTGTGTGTAATGACTATGAAGCTGCCATGGAGAACTTGGCGGCCCGAAGTCATAGACATGTGTTTGCATATGTTCGTTTCAGCTTGAAGAGCGTAAGACAATGCAAGAGGCCCCCAAGATCGCCCCACGGCTCCTACCTTCAACGCTTCCCAGAAAGGTCCAAGAGGCTCACAGGATGGCCCAAAGAAGGGCCACAAAAGTTTGCCAGGGCCGGATCGCTGGAAGGATCCCTTCCAAGAAGGGCCCAAGACACCACTCCCTCTTCTCCCTGGCGACGGCTCTCGGCGATAGGATTTTGGACGACTTCGGGGCTCTGTCCATTTCACTCCTTGATTACCTGAGGCCCTGTGCCCTATGATGCGTCTGGAGGTCCTCAGGGGACCCCCAAATCCCCAAGGACGGCGACGACAACAACAAATCTCTCAAAACCAGTCCCCGTAACCCTCCCAAGGTCCGTCCAGGCTGGCCTTTCCAGCTGCCGAAGCGCCAAGAATCTCCAGGAACATCCTAGCCAATCTTTCCAGCTCCGTCCGGCCGTACCGATCGAACCCACAACAAAAACATCCCAAATATCGAAAACGACGACGACGAGGACGAGGAAGACGAGGACGAGGACGAGGACGACGAGGACGACATCGTCGTCGCTGTCGGCCTCGTCGCAGCAACCCGCCGCCCCACTGCGGAGGAAGAGCAGTCTCTCTCTCCTCTTGTGCTGCGCGCCGCGCCGCTGCGGTGGAGAACAAAACGCTCCTCCCCGCCGCGCGGCGGGGGGGGGCCGCGCGCGCACGGAGCGGCCGCCGGCCGGGCGCCTCTCAGAAGCCGTTGCGCCCCCACACCACCAGCGCGATGGACATGGTCACCGTCGAGCAGACGGTCGGGTCGCACGAGAGTGAAGGGGCCCCAGGACACACAAATAAATACACACAAATAAAAATATCCCCCATATTTTCCTATATTTTCTGGGGTTCTGTCTTCCCCCCCACTTCCCATATTTTCCCATATTTTCTGGTGAGGCGACGATTAATTGTGTCTGTGTGTTTTTTCCCCTCCTGAGAGAGGGGGGGAGGGGGGGGGGGGCACGGCAGCTTCGTGCCGTACACACCGGCCCGGGCGTGGGCCCCCGACACCGCGGGAAGCGTTCCACCCAGAGCGATCGGTAACTTACCCAACGTCCGATCGTTCCGCATCGACCGATTCGGGGTCGCCGGGCGCGCGTTCAGCCTCGAACGCCCGCGCTGGGTTCGCCGCTGGTCGACACGACGCGAACCTGCCGTCAAGGGGGCGGGGGTCGCGGATCGGCTCTGCGTTCCCCAGCGCCCTCTGGCGCCAGAGGCACCAGCGAATCGAGGAGGGCGCCCGGCGGCGGGGCCAAGCCCTGCTGCGTGCAGCGGACTTCGCAGCCCGGCCTTTCCGAAACCCACCCCTCTCGTCAAACCCGAGATGAAGACCCAGATGAGGCCAGGGTTCTCCAGCACGGGCATGGCCACGGAGACGGAGCTCGCTGGGGGAGCCAAGAGATGCCGATGCCGATGCTCCCCAGACCTCTCGGGGCGCGCTCCGACTGGGATTTCGGGGCGAATTTGACAGTGGCGACGAGGGCCTCCCAAGAGGCTCCGAAAAATCGGCAACAGGGCAAGGGTAGCCCAGAGATCCGACGTGCTGACTTGTTCAAAGCGAAGTCCCTCGAAGCCCCGATCCATTCCTCAGGGCTAGCTTCTCATCCCGAGTCGTTTTTGTCGGTCCTGGGGCCCGGCGAGGGCCCCCAGAGGCCGAACTTGGTGAAAACGTCCGCCTTGATTGTTCAGCACGTTGGCTAGAAAGCAACTCACAAAAGCTTTTGGTCCTCCCCGTGGCGCCAAACAGCGCGCAAAGCGGACCAAACGCATTTTTTTCACGTGGCGCTTGTGGGCGCTGCTGGTCACCATGGGGGGCTTTTCGAGCGCCTCTCGGCGCTACTGGGCGCTGATGGGCGCTATTGGGCGCTATGGAGCGCCAGTGGGCGCTGTTCGCCGATACATACGACTTGCATCCAAGACCAGCGGAAACGCCCGTGACTCACCATCCCACGTTAGAAGGCTGGTTTGAGCAGTGACCGACCGTCCTGGAAACCTATAAGCCTACCACGACATGTTCTTCGAATCCAAAAGTGTTCCAATAATAAAAACAAGGTTCGTATAACAGATATCCGGTGTACTACAACAAGAAGGTCTCAGCCAGACATGTTCCAAGGACATTTCGTGCAGACCACAAAAGGTTATTGGAATCTTGTTTTGGTGGGCCCATGGGCACGCCAGGACGCTTCGCCACTGCTCGAGTGGGAGCGGAGCACATCGGCACCCTTCCCTCCCCCGACTCGCCGCGTCGTAGGCGCCGGCCGGCTGCTGCAGCGCCATCGCGGGCAGCGCCGCGCCGGCGGCAGCGTAGGCGGCCCCGGCGCGGGCGGCCTCGCCTCGGCGGCGGGTGGCACTGGGAGGGGGACCTGACTGGGGGGTGAAGGAAAGGGCCCCCAAAGGGGCCCCTTGGGGTCCCTGCTGGCTCCAAAAGGGCCCTTAAAGGAAGCCCTTTAGGGCGGTCTTGAGGCCCGTGAGGGCCTCTCGGGGCCTCAAGGGGCCGAAGGGGCTCCGAAAGGCCCATGAAGGGGCCGTTTAGAGGCCGTTTACCGAAACAAATGGGGCCAGTCTTAGGGGCCTCAAGGGCCCCTTCAGGGCCCTGTAGGGCCCCTTTCGGGCTCTGAAGGGCCCTGGCAGGTCAGCCCCCATCTTAGCACCCGCCCGATCGCCCGCGGGCGCCGGGACGAAGGGCGCCCCGGCGCCCAGGAGCGCGAGCGCGAAGGCGCCGAGCAGGAGGCCGGCCGTCAGGAGGCCGCCGCGGGCGCGGGCCATGGCTGCTCTTCTTGCGCTCCGCGGCCGCGGGCGGCGAGCAGCCCACGGCTGGCAGGGCCCCCCTCGGGTCCTGAACAGTATCACGACGGGAAGTGTTTCTCGCTAGGTTTCGGGGGCGGCCAAGAGGGGGGCGTCCAAGAGGGGGGGCGCAAATCATGGCCGGCGGCATGTGCGCGGCCCAGGGGGGCCGGGGACGCTTGCAGAGGCGCCACAAAATCTGGGGCGGTATCATGGTCCTCGCCATGGTATCCCCCAACTAGTCATCACCCCCCTCTTGGCCGCCCCGGAAGGTTCAGCCCCTGGGGGGGCATACCAAGCCCCGGGACCGCCAGCAAACGACTCAGGATGGACAACTGGTCCCTGAGGAGGGGACGAGTCTTAGGTCGGGCATGTCCTCATAATTACAGGCGGATGTTGGAAGAAAGAAACATAACAACATAGCCAAACAATTACAAACAAAGTCAAAAGACCACAACAAATTGTCACCATACGATTTGTTTGACTATTCTCGAATTTTCCTCCTTCCTCCTGTAGAGGGACCTGCAAGACTTTAGTCGAGTTCTCTGGGGAGGATCAGATCATGACGTCGCTGGCCTGGGTCCGCGACCCCCGCGGAATACGCGGAGTTTTTGTGTCCGCGGATGCCCTGCGCGGAACATATCCGTACGACCGCATGTCCGCGAGATCGCACCCCACCAGACCTCGATGGCGCTCCCGTGGCAGAAGCTCGCCGCTCGTGACCTCGGAGCTGCCTCTGTCTCTCGCGCCCCTGGGGGCGGGCGCGCCTCTGAGCCAGATGGGCTTGGGCCAAAGTGGCTCCGGTCCCGGCGGCGGAGGGGTGAGGCCCAAAGCGGGGTCGAACGACACTCATTGGCGGCGCGCCCAGGGGGGAAGGGCAGAGTGGCGGGTCTTCGGGAGGATCGAAAGGCCTCCGGCCGTCTGAGAGACTTTCTAAGCCTCCTCCGGAGACATCGGAGGGCTTCTCAAAGGCCAGGGGGGCTGCTGAGAAGTCCCGCCGCCCTCCGAGAAAGCCTGCCCGCGCTCATCGGCGCGCCGCCGAGCTCCAGACTTCGACTCCCGACGACGACGGCGTCGCCCGAAGTCCGCTCAAAAGGCGCTCCCTAGGCATTCCCGAAGCGGGAGAGTGCGGAGAAGTGGGGCGGTGCACAACAGCAGGCGCTGCCCCAAAACCGACAGCGGCCGCGGTTGGGCAGGCGAGCTTGTCTCAAGTGGGCAACGTCGGCGGCGGCACCGACAGAAAGCGCTGATCAGAACAAGGGCGCCTAACTCCGCGCTTCGCGCTGCGCGAAGCGCGAAAGCGCAAATGACTTCGCGCTCTCGCGCCGCCCCCCAGGGGAGATGAGGAGGAGGTGGAGGAGGAGCCGAAGCGCGACTAACTTCGCGCCCTCGAGGGCGCCCCTGCAGAGCGGGCGGCAGCAGCTGTCGGCCTTCGCCCCCGTCCTATCTCCTCCGCACCGTGTCAGACCGATCCCCGAGCCCGCGCGGGGGGGGGGTCTGCTCTCGTCGGCCCTCCGGGCCCCGCGCAGCCGTTGGCGGCGAGAGCCCCCCGCGGGGACTCCTGGAGCGACGCGGCGCAAAAGAGAGAGGCCTCCAGAGCAGAGCATCCCAGCACGACGGACGACAGTGGCACGGTCGTCAAAGTCGCCGCGCCGCCTTCGCGGTGCGGATGCTGAGGAGGGAGGAGGGATGCAAGAGCAAGAGTCGGCGGCGCGCCGAGGGGCGGGGGGGAGCGAGAGGGGGCAGGCCTTCTCGGAAGGCGGCGGGGCTTCTCAGAAGCCCTCGGGTCCTCTGAGAAGCCCTCTGCGCCTTCGGACCCAGACCTCCGACGTCATGATCTGTTCGTAACGTCGGCCCCCGAGGTCTCAACCCACGGCCCTGGACTGGTGGTTCATCCCGAGTCCTCTCTTGACGGTCCCGAGGCCGGGCAAAGGCCCCCAGAGGCCGAACATGGCGAAAAACCTCCCGTCGCAATGTTCGTCATCCCTCGAGGGGCCCGCGCCTTCGGAGCAGGCCCGGGAAGCTTCCCTCAAGAGGCCGGAGGCCTTCGGATAGCCTCTGGAAGGCCAGCCGGCCCCTCCCCCCCCCCCCTCCCCTGTGGGCGCGCCTGCCTCCCGGCGCCGGAGGCGCCGCTGCATCGAGGCACGCGCACCTGGGGCCGAGACTGGCTGCGTGCAGCGCAGTTCGTAGGCCCCCCCGCCCGCCCTCTCCTCCCTCCGTCTCGGCGGGCAGCGATCGGGGGGGGGGGGACTGGCTCAGGGGGGGGGAAGCCCTGAGATCCTGGCGTCGCAATTGTTTCACCACGGGCGTTGTCGCTCCCTTTCGGGCCCCAGGACCCTCACAGGTCGGTCCGGCTCGAAACATGACGCGGAAAGATAGGGTCTGGGGTTCCAGGCGTGTCTTTCAGCTAAGTTAAGTTGCATTTTTCTACAACCTCGGATCTCAGGGAACGTCGACCTGGAATCTGCGATACATCGCAGACGCATCGGCGATAGGCTCCGAACGCACGTTCATGGGCGGGATGGGCCATCGGGCCCCCATCTGCGATCCATGGGCGATCGGGGGTCGATGCATCCCCCCCCCCGAGTCTGCCCCCCCCCACGTTGCCCCTGATCAGAGTAAGGGGGCCGAACGGTCATTCGTTGTCGCTGGGTGCGTGGGGCTGCAGTGTGATTCCACTGCTCGGATTCTGCTTTGAAGTCTCATTCTTAATAAAGTAAACAGTGCTGATCTCCCCTGCCGAGTGCAAATTTGCGTTTTTCAATGAGAGTGCTCCTCCCGGGGCTCGCACCCCGCCTCAGGAAAGTCTTGGTTCTCAGACTGTGCCCTTCGCCCCCGAACTACAACAACAACGGCTCCCGCCGGATACATCCTCACCATATATTTGAAACTTCGCGCTCTCTCACGGGATTTTCTTCGAAATTGTTATGGCATCACGCTCTCGCGTGGTACTTCCTCAGAATGTATTGCGGCACCGTGCCCCCTAGACACAGGAATCACGCTCTCGCTTTGGACTTCCTCACGATTTACTTGGGAATCGCGCTATCGGTCGAAACGTGATTGCGATTCATGTTGGATTTACGCTTCAACCACCTGCTCGCTCGACCCGGCCGTCTGTGCCCGCCCGCGTGACCTGCCCGTTAGGGTCCGCCCGCCCGACCCGCCCGTCTGGTTCTGCCGCATGTAATCCTGCTCTCAGCCCTCCTCCTGCAAATCTCTCTCGTGCTCCAGCCCTCTCTCTCCCCCATTGCGCCCCTTCCTTCCTCTGTTTTAGGGGCTGCGCCAACTACAGGCGGCACGTAAGGAAAATGAAGATGGCGGCTATCGAGGGCTTGGGATATACGTGTTGAATGGCACGCGGGCAGATCAGAGCGACCAGTATTAAAATGATTGGTGTTGCTGTTGCTGTTGCTGCTGTGGTTGTTGTTTGTTGCTGTTGAATTTCTCAATTCTTCAAAATACATCTTGTTGATCCCCCTTTGAGCGGTGCACAGCATGTTTAATTGACGTGCCCTTCCTCAGACTGGCCTGCTGGCTCCCCGTTTACAACAACAGCGACTCCAGCCTTCAACTGCCGATAGCAATTGACTCAAAAACGCGCTCTTGCGCGTGACCCCCCTCACACGTCATCCAGGAATCGCGCTCTCGCGTGGTAATGTTTCACAATGTATTGAAGCGCCGCGCCACCAGCACTCAGGAATCACGCTCTCGCTGTGGACTGGCTCACGATGTCCTCGGGAATCGCTGTGGACTGGGGAATCGCGCTACGCATCGCTGGAGACTTCCCCGCGATCCATGCATGGCGGACGCTTCACAAATCAACCCGCTGGACCCCGCCGTCTGGGACCGCCCGCCCGACCTGTCCGTTAGGGTTCGCTCGCTCGACCCGCCCGTCTGGTTCTGCCGCTTGCTTTCCTGCGACACTTGGAAATCCCGCTTTCGCTGTGGATTTCCTGATGATTTACGTGGGAATCGCGCCGTCGCTCGAGACGTCCTTGCGATTCATGTTGGATTTACGCTTCAACCACCTGCCCGCTCGACCCCGCCGCCTGGGCCCGCCCGCCCGACACGCCCCGCCCGACCCGCCCGTCTGGTTCTGCAGCTTGTGTTCCTGCTCCGAACGCCCTCTTGCTAATTCGTCCTTTCGGGCTCCATCCTTCTCCCCTCCCCGTTGTCCCGTCCCTCCTCTCCTCCCCTGCTTCAGGGGCTGTGCCAATTATACGTGGCAGATAAAAGGAGATAGACCCCCAAGGGGGGGTATGACCGAAGACGAAGGGGGGCGGGCATCGATCGTTCGGACTACATGTGTGAAATGACACACGAGCAAAAAGGGCGAACACTAGTGCATTTATGTGTGTTGCTGATGATGTTGTGAGTGTTGGTGTAAGTGTTGGTGATGGTGTTGGTGTCGTTGGTGTTGTTGTTGCTGGTGTTGTTCGTGTTGTAGTAGTTGTTGGTGTTGAACTCCCCCTTCTGAAGAACAATGCTTGCTGAGTCCCCCTCCAGTTCAGCTTGCATTGTTCACTTGAGATGCCCCTCCCTGGGCTCGCACCTTGTCTTTTACTCGAAAAAGTCTTGACGATCGAACTGGTCCCCTGGCCCCCGAACTACAACAACAGCAACGGCACCCGCATGATACTGCCTGACAGTGGATTCCCCAAATCGCGCTCTCGCGCGGGACTTCCTCCCACGATATGCAGGAATCGCGCTCTCGCGTAGGAATCCTTGCAATTGATTCCGGCGCCGCGCCTTTGGCACTCAGGAATCACGCTCTCGCTTTTGTTTTGTCGAATGATTTACTTGGAAATCGCGTTATCGATCGAGATTTCTTCGCGACTCATGCAGGCTTCACGTTTCAGCAACCTGCCTGCTCGACCTGGCCGCCTGGGCCCGCCTTCCCGACCCGCCGGCTAAGGTCTACCCGCCCGATCTGCCCGTCTAGTTCTGCCACGTGTTTTCTGCTCTTAACCCCCCCTCCTGCTAATTTCACTGACGTCCCATCCTTCTCCTTCCCCCGCCCATCCGTCCTCCCTAAACTGAATGTTGTTGTTGCTGCTGGTGGTGGTTGTTGTTGGTGTTGTTGTTGTTTTTGTGGTGTGGTTGTTTGTGTGGGTGATGTTGGTGGTGTTTTTGTTTGGATTGCATGCCTAAAGAATATAATGGATACCCGTCCAGTGGCCATACTTTTAGTAAGTAAAGTGCTCCCCTCAGGCCTCGCACGCTGGTTTAGGTATCGAAGAAGATGTGGTGTCACCAAGCTGGGTCCGTCGCCCCCGCTTTACAACATCAGCGATTCCCGCCTGATACTTCCTTACAATATTTCCCAAAATCGCGCTCACGCGCGGGACTTCCTCACAGTGTAGGCGGGAATCGCGGTCTCGCGTGGGACTGTCTTACAATGTATTCCGACGCCGCGCTCTCGACAGTCAGGAATCACGCCCTCGCGAATACATTCTCACTTCTTCTAAATAACTATTGTTGGTCCCCCTCCTCCAGTAGACCTTGTATGTTTGAGTTAAAATGTTTCTCCCAGGGAGCCCACCAGTATTTTTTTACAACGGACAGCGAACGGTCACCAACGTGCGCTGTTGGGCCCCGAGCTACAACATCAAAGACTGCCGCCTGATACTTCCTCACAAGATAATGCAAAATCGCGCTCTGGCGCGGGATTTCTTCATAATTGATGCAGCTCGCGTGGGACACCCTCGCAATTTATTCAGACGCCGCGCCCTCGGCACTCAGGAATCACGCTCTCGTTGTGGAGTTCCTCACGAATTATTTGGAATTTGGGCTATCGCTCAAGTTCTCCTCGCGATTCATGCAGGACCCACGCTTCAGTAACCCGCCTGCTCGACCTGGCCGCCTGGGCCCGCCTTCCCGACCCACGCCCGTGAAGGTCTACCCGCCCGTTCTGCCCGTCTAGTTCTGCCACGTGTTTTCTGCTCCTGGCCCCCATCCTGCTGGTCTCCGTCGTGCTTCATCCTCCTCCCTCCCCCCTTGTTCCTTCCTTCCATCCGTCCTCCCTTCCCTGGAGGCTGCACTAAATGCACGTGGCAGGTAAAAAAGATATACCCCCAAGGGGGGACGACAGAAGACGAAGATGGCGGGTATCGAGGGTTCGGGGTGTACGTGTTGAGTGACACGCGGGCAGGTAAGAGCGAACAATCTTAAAACAAGTGTTTTTGCTTTCAAATTTCTGAACAATTATTATTGTTGAGCCCCCCTCCGGTAACAATTGCATTTTTCAAATATAATTATTCTCCCGGGGTTCGCACCGTGTTTCTTTACAAGGGGAAACCCATGGACGCTGGGTTACTACTAAAACCACAACAACAATCAATTTAAGACTGTTCGCTCCTATCTGCTCACGTGTCAATAAATACGTATACTCCAAACCCTCGGTACCCGCCCGCGTCGTTTTCGATAGTGCCCCCTTGGAGGTAGATCTTCCTTACCTGCCACTTGCATGCAGTGCAGCCCCTAAAACAAGGAAGACGAAGACGGGTGGAAGGGGGAGGGGAAATAATGTACCACGAGAGAAATTATCAGGAAGGGAGCAAGGAGCAGAAAACAAGTGGTAGAACCAGACGGGCAGATCGGGTGGGAAGTTTTTCGCGAGAGCGCGGTTTGGGAAACACTGTGAGGAAGTATCAGGCGGGAGTCTTTGTTGATGTAGTAAAACGGGGGCCGACAACACAATTTGCGCCCCGTGACTTTCCGTGATAGAAAAACAAGTGCGAGCCCAGGGGGAAGCACTCCAATTGAACAATATACAACGGTCACCGGCGGGAGGATCAGCAATACTCATTCTTCAGTCATGGGAGTTCAACAACATTAATCATTTTAAGACTGTTCGCTCTTCCTGGCACGCGTGTCTTGCATTTCGTATACTCCAACCCTCGATGCCCGCCCACTTCCTCTTCGATTGCACCCCCTTTCGGGGGGAATTCTTCCTTGTCGGGCACTGACTGATGTGCGAGGAAGTCTCGAATGAGAGCTCCGTTCCTGAGTTCGGGGGCCTCTCTGACCAGGGGCTCTCGGAACACCTATAAAGAATACCGAACGGAAACCTTTGCCGCCGTGTCGGGGCCTCCACCAACTTGCCTGTACTACGAGACAGTCTCGAGCGAGAGCGCAGTGTCTGAGTTCGGGGGCCTTCTTGGCCAGGGGCTCTCGGAGTAATCGTGAGGAAATTTCGAGCAGGAGCCTTTGTTATGTGGCTGGGCCTCCGCCAGCTTGGTTGAATTGCGAGGACGTCTCGAGCGAGAGCGCCGTTCCTGACTTCGGGGGCCTCTCTGGCCAAAGTGTCTCGGGGTAAATTGTGAGGAACTATTGAGCGGGAGCCGTTGTCCTCGTAGCTGGGCCTCCAAGGGCCCACATTTAGGCTCAAGCAAACGCTCGAACGGGAGCCTCGTTTCCAGAGAACATGTAGCCGGCGTCGAAGCGAGAGCGCGCGGAACCGTTTCCGGATTTCGCTGTGGAGGTCCTCACGATGTATTTGGAAATCGCGCTCTCGCTCGAGACCTCCTCGCGATTCATGCAGGACGCACGCTTCAGCGACACGCCTGCCCCTTGTCCCTTCCTTCAATCCGTCCATCCGTCCGTGGTTTAGGGGCTGCACGAAATACACGTTGTGGGTGAGAAAGATACTCCCCTCAGGGGGCACGATCGAAGACGAAGAGGGCGGGGATCGAGGGTGTGGGGTCGTGTTGAGATGGCACGCGAGCAGGTAGGAGCGATCATACTTAGTTAAACTGCGTGTTATTGTTGTTGTGATTATTGTTGGCTGTTGTTGGTGGTGGTGGTTGTTGGTTGTTGTTGGTGGTTGTTGTTGTTGTGGGTTTTTTGTTGGTGGTTTTGTTATCGTCGTCCTCGCCCGCGACCCGCCCACAACCCACTCGCGAACCGCCCGCGACCCACCCAACGACCCACCCCGCGACCCACCCCGCGCCCGCCCCCTCACTCTTACCCGCAACTGCGGGGTGCTGCGCATCTCCCCCCCCAACCAGCCCGACCCAATCGGGGCGGCGGGTGCGTCCTGCACCGTCATGTTGCGGCTCTGCAGGTACTCGGCGATCTGGTGCAGCACCTGCCGGCACGCGCTGGCCGAGGGCGCGGCCGCCCGGTGGCTGCGGCGCGGAGGCAGGATCAGTCACACGCCACGAAAATACACACATAGACACCCTCCGACGAATTTTGCACGTACCTTCAGGGAGGGCGGCGGTGTATGAAGTCGCTGGCTCTCAGAGGTGATTCGGAAAATCGGGTCGAATCGGAAAGCGCATCTGATCGGGTCGCATCGGCACAGAGTTGGAATCGAATCGAATCGGCCGCGCCAGGATGCACAACTTCATAGGAGAGTCGGTTCGCATCAGTACACCTGAATGTCGGAATCGAATCGGATCGGGCTGGCCAAAATCGATGTCGAATCGGATCGATTGGATCGAAATGCACTCTGGGAGGAGGGCGAATTTGCTAGAGACCGCTGCCAAACCTCCAAGACGAACCCGACATTTACAAACAAGGGACAGGGAGACCCGCAAATGTCGATGCACGAGCGGAGGTGGGGAGCACGATTTGTCCGTGTTTGTTTGCCCTCCCCACGTCCCCGACGATGTGATTTTTACAGCCAGCATTTTTCCTTTGCTTCCCCCTGCAAGGCTCCCTATCGGGCCCAGGGACCATCCAACGTTAACACGTGACAAAATCCATGACAAAACACTGGCCCTGGGGAAGGGGTCAGGACCTGTGGAGCCGCGCATTGAAAACCTCAGACCATCAGCTGTATGGGCCTCTTGCAGTTGCACGACCTTGTCAAGCAATGCTTCACGCCTCGCATTATGGGGCCGCGGTCGTTCGGGGGCGAAGCGCGCCTTCCTTGAGCAAGCCCCGAAGCATGAAGCGCAGGGATACTCATCAATGGGAAAAAGAAAAACTTACATAAACATAAACTGTTGGCCCTCCGCGCGGATCTCTTGGATCTGCGCTGGGCCCCCCTCCCTGCAGGCGGAGCACGCCAGGGGCGGCGCTGGAGGCGCCGCAAGGGGGGCCCAACGCCGATCCAAGAAATCCGCGCGGAGCGCCGAAGGTTTATGTTTATGTCGTTTCCTGTTCTTCGATCCTCAAAAATCGTCGGCGGGCGGGCGGGCCACGTTTGGGGCCGCTCTTGCGGCTCGATGCTCGGGCGGACGCTCGCGGGGGGGGCAGGAAGCGGCGGACTGTCGAGAGTTGCAGGAGGGTGCCCCTTGAGATGGCCCCGCGCTGCCACCACGGGCCCAGAAAATGCTGGGACGGCGCGCCTCTTTCCCTAACGCGGTGGGTTCGCGCGGCGTCGGCGCGTGCTTTTCCCTAACATGGTGGGTTCGTGCGGCGTTGGCGCGCGCAAAGGTGTTTGGACACCGTGTCGATCGTTCAATCTTACATATCGATCGCAACCCCAGTCGGGTCCAGTGGCGTTGCCGTCCGTCCATCGGTGCTTCCTCGTCGCAGAATTCAACCTTGGACGCCTTTGCTGGCGTCGCCAGCGCGCCAACGCCGCATGAACCTCCCGTAGCGTTACGCTAAGAGAGCTCCAATGGTAGTTAAAAACCAGCAGGAGAGCCCCACGGAGGGGGCGGAGAGCCCGAGGCCGCCTGGTCTGGCCGCAATTTCGCCTGAGACTTCCTCACAGTGTGTTCGAGATCCGTGATCTCGCCCCGATGCATGCTACATGTTGGGTCAAGACGGCCACGATCCCTGCTTCCCCCAAAACACTAAGGTCCGCGACATGGCCGTGCTCTCGCCTCAAGGCTTGCTACGTTATTAGTCTGGACGGCCACGCTCCCCTACAACTCGAGCAGGGGATCGACAACAGAGTTGCGATCCCCCAAAATATCTACGAAACATACGAAGATTGATCTGCTGACCGACCAACATGCTACGTAGTTTCCATGACTTCGGCGAGAAAACAAAGTCTGGGGTAAATCACGTCTGTAGTCGATCCCCTACTCGACACACAAATACGCAATGCGCACACAGCTGGGCCCTCACCCCTGTCATTTGCTCGCTGCGTTTCGAAGGAAACCCTGGGAATACCTAAGTCTTACGTATTCCCAGGAGGCCCAAGAGGCCCAAGAAGGGGAAAACGAGGGGAAGGTAGCGTTATGGGTGCCTCTTCGCCCCCTGACCCGATCCTCGACCCGCCTCTTCACCTTTGCTGCTAATGGGGTGTTTGGGTGATTAAGGAGCCGAACTCTATACACCGATGCTTTTTTGGGCCCCGCACTGAAACTCGAACAAGAAAGCGGATCCTGGTGTATACAGGATCCTGCTGTATGCATGTTTCGCTGTTTCCCCGGGCAGACGGGAAAAAAAGTAAACACCACACCACCCCGACGTCGTCCCCGACCCTCGAAAAGTCCTGGGATTGAAAAACAGCCCGCCACTGGTAATGCATACGCTCCAGTCTCCGAAAACTTTCACCTCCGTTGATTCCTCTCCCCCTGCTGCCGGGCGCCCCCGGTGCCGCGGGCCGCCTCTGCGGCCCCGGCGGCGCTGGCAGCACGAGATTGTGTTTTGCGTAGCACCCCCGCAGTTGCGGGTACGAGTGAGGGGGCGGCGGGGACGTCGGCAGTCTGTGAGGCTCTGAAGAAGCCCGCCGCAGGCGCCGTGTTTTTTTGTTAAACCCATGTGGGTGTGTCGCGGGTTGGGTCGCATATGGGTCGTGGGTGGGTCGCGGGTGGGTCGCGGGCGGGTCGCGGGACGGTCGCGGATGGGTCGTGGGTGGGTCACGGGGTGGTCGCGGGTGGGTCGCAGGCGGGTCGCGTGGCGGGTCGCGGGTGGTTCGCAGGTGGGCCGCGGGGTGGGTCGCGGATGGGTCGCGGGTGGGTCGCGGGGTGGGTCGCGAGTGGGTCGTGGGCCGGGTCGCGGGGGGGACGACGCCAAACAACAACAAATAACAACAAACAACAACAAACAACAACAAACAAGAACAAACAAGAACAAACAAGAACAAACAACAACAAACAACAACAAACAACAACAAACACAACAATACCAACAATAACATCAACAACAACAACAACAACAACAACAACAACAACAACAACAACAACAGCAACAACAACAACAACAACAACAACAACAAAGCAAGGGCGGCCAGCGCCGACCCGTCGGGCCCCCCCCGGCAACAACCACAACAACGACCCCCCCCCAACACCAAAACAACGCCATTGAATTCTATGTGTGTGAACATCTGCGGACCTCCTCTCTGGCACCAACGAATCCCTGCCAGCAAAAAGCATATGTGCACCGGCGAAGGGAGGAATTCCTAGGAATTCATAGGAATCCTTAGGAATCCATGGGAATCCTGAGAAATTCATAAGACTCCTTAGGAATTCATGGGAATCCTTCGGGATTCTTAGGCAATTCCTAGGAATCCATCGGGATTCTTAAGAATCCTCAAAAATTCCTGGGAATCCTTCGGGATCCTTAGGAATTCCTAGGAACCCTTCGGAATTCTTAAGAATCCTTTGGAATTCCTAGGGGTCCTTCGGCATTCCTAGGAATCCTTCGGAATTCTTAGGAATCCTTCGGAACTCCTCGGAATACTTCGGAATTCTTAGGAATCCTTTTCTAGAATTCCTTGGAATCCTTCGGCATTCCTGTGAATCCTTCGGAATTCTTAGGAATCCGTTGGAATTCATATGAATCCTTAGGAATTCCTAAGAATCCTTAGGAATTCCTAGGGATCCTTAGGAATTCCTGAGGATCCTTAGGAATTCCTTGCAATCTTTCGGAATTCTTAGGAATCCTTAGGAATCCTTAGGCATTCCTACGAATCCTTACGAATTCTTAATAATCCTTTCGAATTCCTAGGAATCCTCAAGACTTCCTAGGAATCCTTAGGCATTCCTACGAATCCTTACGAATTCCTACGAATCCTTACGAATTCCTTGGAATCCTTACGAATTCCTAGGAATCCTCAGAAATCCTTAGGACCCTTGGGCATTCCTAGGAATCCTTTGGCATTCCGAGGAATCCTTAGGAATTCCTAGCAATCCTTAGGCATTCCTATGGATCTTTCGGAATTCCTGGGGATCTCAGGAATTCCAATGAATCCAAAGGAATTCATAAGAACCCTTTGGAATTCCTAGGCATCCTTAGGCATTCCTAGGGATCCTTACGAATTCCTGGGAATCCTTAGGCAGTCTTGGGAATCCTTACGAATTCCTAGGAATCCTTACGAATTCCTGGGAATCTTTGGGCATTCCTAGGTATCCTCAAAAATTCCGGCGAATCCTGAGGCATCCCTAGGAAACATTACGAATCCCTGGGGAATCCTCAGAAATCCTTCGGATCCTTAGGCATCCCTCGGAATCCTTAGGCATTCCTAAGAATCCTTAGGCATTCCTAGGAATTCTTAGGATAGGAATTCCTAGCAATTCTTAGGCATTCCTAAGGATCTTTCGGAATTCCTGGGAATCCTTAGGAATTCCTAGGAATCCTTAGGAATTCATAACTCGGAGTCCTTAGGAATTCCTAGGGATCCTCACGAATTCCTGCGGATCCTTAGGCAGTCTTAGGAATCCTTACGAAGTCCTAGGAATCCCTACGAATTCCTTGGAATCCTTTGGCATTCCTAGGTAGGAATCCTTGGGCATTCCTAAGTATCCTCACGAATTCCGGAGAATCCTTACGAATTCCTTGGAATCCTTACGAATTCCTTGGAATCCTTGGGTATTCCTAAATATCCTCACGAATTCCGGAGAATCCGCAGGCACTCCTAGGAAACCTTGGAAGCCCTAGGAATTCCTAGGAATCCTGGGAATTCCTAGGAATTCATCGGATTCCGATGAATTCTAGAATTCCTAGGAATCCTCAGAAATTCCTGGTAATCCTTAGGAACCCATAGGCATTCCTACGAATCCTGCGGGATTCCTGAAGATTCCTAGGAATCCAAAGCAGAAGGAATTCCTAAGGATTCCTAGGAATTCCTAAGAATCCTTTGGAATTCCAGCGGATCCTTAGGAATCCCAAGGAACCCCTAGGAATCCTGTCTGGAATTCCTAGGAATCCTTTGAAATTCCTAAGAATCCTTCGGCATTCCGA